ACCATCAGCTTTCTTCACCACATTTGCTTATGCACCCGCTTTGTCTTCAGCGATTGTGTCGGGAGGGTGAGCAGCATGGAATCTTGCAACTTTTCTTATCCCTATGCATCTACTCCTTCTGTTCTTTACAAACTGAAAAACTCAACTGAAACAATAAAAACAAAAAGAAAATATGATGGTAAGGGTAAAATAATAACAAAGAGATAAAAATACAAATAATGACTAAGAAAGAAAAGCCCACCATGAATATTTAAAAGGCCAGGGAAGAAATTTTTGTCATGGAACAAGCAAGAAATACTTGCACCTAGAAGTATTGGATTCAGAGGGAGGTCAACTGATGGAATTCTTTATAAAACTTAAAGGACTGGAAATGAGAGAGCGAGGCTTTTTGGTGGCTACAATCTGAAGGTAAGGCTTTTCAGAGGTAGAAGATCTTTCATTGGTGTTTGACATTGAGGAGGATTAAAATAGACAGGCAGATGTACATATATTTATATGGTAATAAAATGAGATTGTGAACAGGCTTTGGGCCTCTGCTCAAGCCCTCTCTCAATGAAAGAACACTTTGTTCTAACAACTTGGTATTCTGTGATGCTCACCCTCCTGGCACAATTGCTGAAGACAAAGTGGGTACACAAGCAAATATGGCAAAGAAAGCTGATGGTGGCCGGCTATCAAAAGATATAGTGTCTGGGGGTATTAAAAGCTTGAAGTTAAACAAGCAGTTATGTAGCAGAGAAGCAACAAGGCCACATGGAAGAAGCACACCAGCCTGTGTGATCTTGAGGTGTGTACAGGATCAGGTAACAGGCACCAGAAGACTCAAAATGAACAAACAAAAAAACAGATTGTTAAGAATGAGGGGGGCTGGAGCAGAGACCCAAAGCCCATCTGTAGACAATGGGACAGCCTCTCACAGAAGGATCACAAGGAAGGAATGCGTCATCCAGGGTGCAGTTTAGCTCCAATGAAACACACAGTATTCCTCTGGTCCCTTAAGGTCCCTCACCTCAACTATCATGACCCCAATCCTGCCTTTCAGTTCTGGCTAGACTGGAGCATGTACACTCCAGTTGTTGTTGAATCTGTTGTCTATCTCCCCGCGCCCCCCCCCCCCCCCCCCCCCCCCCCCCCCCCCCCCCCCCCCCCCCCACCACACCCCCGCTTCTCTACAATATGTTTTTCTTTTCTTTCTTTTTTTTTTTTTTTGAGGAAAGCATTCAGAAAGGAGAAAGCCAATGTGCATGGCATATTTAGACTAGACAGTTAATAGACATTTGAGGTCCCAGAAACCAAAACCCACTCCATCAGAGTTGATTCTGACTCAGCCACTGTATATGACAGGGCAGACAAAACTTCTCCCTACAGTCTCGGAAGCTGTAAATCTTAACAGGAGCAGACAGCCTCCTCTCTCTCCATGGAGCAGCTGATGGGTTTAAACGGCTGACCATGGAGTTAGCAGCCCACCACCTAACCTCCAGCAGCCCCACTAGAGCCCCTTGATGTTGAGGTTAAGTGTCCCTGTTATGGACTTAAACTTATCCATTCAAATCCACCGCTGACTGGCTGTGTGGACCTTGGCAGCAAGTTAGGTAACTCTGTAAAGCCTAGTTCTTTATCTGAAAAACAATGATAATATATAGAACCCAATTTTCTGGCTTGACTCAATTCTGTGAGCTATAGTAGCAGGTGATCCAACTGGGGGGAAAAACAAGTCAGACTATGAAGGGGAAGAACCCTGCAAATAAGCTGAGGAGTTTTGAAGTAGGTTGCGTGGATATAGCCAGGCACTGACAGATAAAGACCAGATCAAAGAAACCCATCATCCTTCCATGAGACAGAGTGGTTAAAGACTGACTGGGCACTGGATGAGACCACAGGTGGACTCAGCTTGCTCCTGCTTCCCTTACTATTCTTAGCCTAAGGAGTCACTTCTCCCCGTCCCAAAATCCAAATGGTTGTGTCACCTGCCACAGGGCCACTCTTCTCTTTATTTAAAAGACACCAATGGAGAAAGGAAATGAGACTAGCTAGAATGTTGAAGTTAGATTTCTTCAGAGTTCAGAATTAAATGTGAAGGCTTACTTCATATAGGTAAAAAAAAAATGCTTTAAGAGTTGTGGGGGTTTGGGGTATTATTAGTTAAAATAACTTTTACTTTCTGACTCAGGTTGGATAGGTGGTTTCATATTCTTTTAAGCACATATATCACAGCTATTAAACTATACCCAAAGGCAACAGTCTGGGCACTCTAGAAGCTGGAGAGCTAGTAAATTGAAACCAACGGCCTATAGCTCCATCTATGTAGTGGTTGATGACTTATGAATGAAAAACAAAACTCACTGCCATGGAGTGGATGCCAACTCATAGCGACCCTAGCAAAATAGAAAGCCCATTCTTTCTCACTTGGAATGGGATGGTGGTTTCACGCTGCAGTTAGTAGTCCCGTGCATAACTACTACACCACATATTTCATATAAGCCAAAGACATCTAGGGCATTGGGGGCTGTACCTAAGCAAAATTGTGTTGTTTTAATATCGTAATGAAGACTATAGAGCCTTCAAAAATGAACTTTAGAGATAATCCCTTGTTAGGTAATCCTTAAATATATTTCATTTTTGTCTTTTTTCTATGCATTTTTATAAAGCAGAGATTATACTCTGTATCTTAATACTGTACTACTTACCTCTTTTTTTAATTTAATATAGCTCAGGAGAAATTTCCATGGCATACTATATCATTTTCATATGTAACAACTTCATGATATTCTACTACAAAGTTATGTTATTTGTTACAATTCTATTATGGTAGGATATTTCAGTTATCTCCATCTTTTGCCACAACAAATGATCATCTTTGCATCTGCTGTTTTTCTTGGGCTATGTCCTAGAAGGGAAGCTATTTTATCAAGCAAGAAGCACACTAAAACTCTCCTTCTACTATGCTTCATTGTCTTTCAGAGAAGCTGTACTTATTTGCTTCCCACTGGCAGGAAATTAGTTTTAAGGGAAGGCTCTCAACCCATTGTCTTTCTCAATTCATCATTTTGGTTTTAATTTTGAAAACAGAGTTGAAAATACGAGACATTGCAATTTGTAAAAGCATGAGTGAGTATTTGCGGGTAGCGAGGAAAATCCTAAAGCAACCACAGCACAAAGTAGTGGGGCATTTCTGCAGTAGAGGAAGAGTTCTGCCACCGTGTCCATGGGTGATGTGGGTGTGCTCAAGACGGGGAAGAGCACGAGGAATGGGAAAACGAGCGCAGTGAGGACCAGACCATGTGTGAGGTCCCCCTCCTGCCCTCACAGTCCACATTTGCCTTCTAGACAGATGAGGAAAAGAGAGTCCTTAATTGACTGACCAGTCTCATCCAGAGTGGCTGACTTTGACTGGAGCCTCTTCATTTGAACTCCCCCTTCTGCCTAAAATTAGTCACTTCCCCCCACCCACCCCTGTTCCCATCCTTCGGCCTCCTCGCTGCCTCGGAGTCAAGGCAACCCCAATGGGCTTCATCCCTCTGAAGAACCACCACCCAAGGCTGCAGGCGCTATCTTATCAAATCACTGTCAAGAGCAAGACTTCACCCTCTTTGAGCTTCAGGAAATCGAAGCTTAGCAGGAGCAGTTTGTCTGCTGTCTTCAGAACCACTGATAGGGTTGTTGGGAGAGCAAGTCTCTGAGCACTGCATTTGCTTCCCATCAGGCCAGGGCCACGTGCTGAGATGAGTTGGGGGGGTGGGGGGTGGGTAGAATAGCCAGGGAGGCAAAGCCACCAGGAGAATAGAAGATCGTTTAAGAAGCTTAGGCCATGAGGCCTTTCCTACAGCAGCTCTCTCCCTGCCTCTTTCAGGTCGCCTAAATTTGAACCCCTTAAAGTTTCTGGTTTTTGACTGGAATTGGCGAGATCAGAAGTTGAGGAGACTGATGGACATTCCCGAGGTACTGTCTACCCAGAAATTGCCCTTAATCATTTGTGTCTTACCCCCCTCCCCCATGTGAACTTGAGTTCGAAGGCAGTAATAAAGCCTTTGACATGGGAAGCCAGCACATTCTAGCTTTTGAAGTGATTTCTATCTTAACTCTGAGGTAACAATTATGGGGGGCCTCAGCCCCTAGCACATAACTGTCAGGTTCTCTCCACGTGTTTGATAGCAATTGCCTTTGCTTCTGTATTAAACGGCCATTGACCTCTGCTTCACTATAGATCATCTGTACTTTTGAGAAGGAAGAAAACTTGGAAAACTGGGCACATTTGCTCTTTCTTTTCAAAAATGACCCTCTTTCTTTTTTGCTTCAGCCTTACACATGAACTCTTTGGAAGGACACAAACTGCCTTGTGTATGGTCCACATCGCCATATTCCCCCAAAACCTATTTAATTTAGACAACTATTTGGATTTTTGTGCAGTGGGGACATTTTTCAGTGTCTCGGTGAATTAAAAGTGAAGGAGTGAGTGCCTTTGTGAACATGGTATTAGCTCACAGATGCAAGAACATCTGTTATGACCATGATGTGAAACACTGCTTTTCCACCCACCATGCTGGGTCATTCTGGAGCTGACTTTCCAGTCCCCCTGTTGGAGAGAGAAGGGTTTGCACAGTAATAAACATGGCTGCCAATCACCGACCTGGAATCAATAAGGGCAGTAACTATTCAAGAAGCTTGGAAATAATGCTTTCAAACATGCTGAATGAATGGATTTGTCATATAAAACTATACAACCTCAGGATAGCCAAGGCTGATAATTAATCAGGGTGGCATATCGGACATTGGTGCAGGTTAAAAGATAATTTGCTTAGTTCCCTACACAAGAGGGCTTCAGAAAGTTCAGAGACAAACGGAATCCAGAGATAATTGAATTTTTCACCAACTTCTTGAAACCACCTCTTTAGTCTACACATATGTCCACCTGAAATGACTAGTTTTTTAAATTGGTTTAACCACTTGATGTTAGGTAGATGAAGCTATGCTTGCTGATTTCAGTTATCCTGTTAAAACTAAGTAATCCTCCATTACTTTTCTCATTACAATAATAGATAGAAACAGTTTGTTTTTTTTATCTTGTTTGTGACCCAAAATTGTCTTTATTATGTAGATATCATTGTTGTCATCATTGGTTGGTGCCAGCGAGTTGGTTTGAACTCATCGAGACCCCACTATGGTCAACGGAGTGAAACACTGGCTGACCCTGCACCATCCTCACAATTGTTCTCATGTTTGAGCCCATGTTGCAGCCACTGTGTCCATCCATCTTGTCGAAGGCCTTCCTCTTTTTCTCTCCCCCTCTAGTTGACCAAGCATGATGTCATTATTAGCAGCCATCAGAAAGCATATAAAAATACTACATTGAAATATGGTATATAGTCTAGGTTATAGAAAGCGCACTTTAGGTACCTTGAAATCCCTTCTGTAGGGGTTTTCTTTTTAATGACGGCAAACAGAAGGGCAATACCGAAACTGATGTTTATGTAGTACCTCCTTCTTGGCTTATGTAACTGTTACCTGTGCATCAAATATGGTTTAGAACTTTTGCCCTTCTTTATTCCAGTCACATTGGCTACAGAAATAACAAGGTTTCTAGAGGGTTGGATTCATTTATCAAGACCATCTTTTGTTGATCATACCTCTCCCCCCCACCCCCTGTTTTTTTCTCATTTAGATAAGAAAGGAGGTTTTTGAACTTCTGGAAATGGGAGTACTCAATCTGTGCAAATCTGAGTCGTTGAAGCTGGGCCTTTTCTAAGGTTGGGTCCAAAGGCAGATCCTTGTTTCACTTCTCTCTTGAATGGGCCTGGCCCACCTGGAGCACTCAGTAAATGTCAGCTTGTGTTTTATCAACAGCGTCACCAATGGATCGCTGGGATGGTCTCGTTGGAGATTCTCTGCCTGAAATCAATGTCTTTTTTGCTAACTCCCTTCCTTGCCTAATAAAATGTCCATGGTTTGCCTGAGATTCTTATCGTGTGCACTGGGTTTGTCTCTGACCAACTCACCTCTGATGCAATTGTGCAGGAGAATGAGAAGTGCAGTGTGGGGACCTGAACCCTCAGAGCCTCTGTCTTGGCATCTGTGTAATGGGAGTGATCTTGCACGGGAGCAGCAGTGGTCCAAAGAACCGTGGGTGTAAGTGGTCCGTTGTCAATAAATGAAATACAGCTCTAGTACTCCTTTTTGTTGCAAGAGTAGCACAAAGAATTCCCGTATACCCTTCACCCAACGTTAACGTCTCATATGACCATCGCACAGTGATCAAAACTAAGAAATCAACACTGGTGGGATGTAATTGAACAGCGGACTTTATTTGTATCCACATCCCATTTTTCTGCCACTGGTGGCCTTTTCTGCTCAGATCGCATGTTGGCACTTTTCCTGAGTTTGCTCACATCGCTCACAGTGCCCTGACCTTGTTCTTCACGACCTTGACATGGATGAGTATTTTAGAGAGCATCTCTTGATTTGGGTTTAAGCTTTATGCTCCTTTGATCAGAATGCCACAGAGTGACATGTCCTTCTTGATGCATCATATCCCAAACCAAACTCACTGACATCCAGTCAGTGCCAACTTAGCGTGTTAGACAGGGTTCTCTAGAGAAATAAAACCAGAACACTAATAATTTTGTATAGAATTCGATAGCTAGATCGATCGATTGATCGATAGAGAGATAGAGATAGAAAAGAATAAACAGTTAATTAATCAATAAAGCAGTACACATGGGTCAGTGCAACTCACTTCCATGGGACAGCTAGTACACCGGCAGTCCTTCAAGTCTTGTGCGCCACGGGGTAGTCCTCCATGGAGCAATTCAGGTTATCCGGCCACAGGCAGCAAACAGCAAGCAGGTCACCAACAGTCAGCCAGATGACGGTCTGAGAGTCCTCAGCCCTCAGCTCAAGAGATGTACCTTCCACTAGCATGGTGAAGCAGGTCTTGAAGGAACCTCGAGTTACAAGACACAGTCCATGGGTAGGCGTCCTACAAATAGTGTAGCTTGCAAATTGAGGCAATAAACGAACAAGGCAGCTGCAAGAGAGAGCGAAGCGAGGCTCGCTGAGCTATTTGTCTCTCTGCCCTGCAAACAATCTCACATGTGTTCATTGGCCATGTTGGCACAACAAACCTACTTATCACACTTAGGGTAACACTATAGGACAGTCAGGGTAAAAAAAAATGAATGCTATGTCTTATTGGTTATGTCAACCTTAATCACTTGGTTCAGGCGTTATCTTTCAGATGCTCCACTATAAAGTTACTATTTTAAGAAAAAAAATACTTCATAAATCTAATGATTGAACTGTGTTCCCCCCACCAAAAAATGTTAAAGTTCTAATCCCCAGTTCATCTGATTTTATTTGACAATTTGGCATGTCTTGGCAATATTACAGGCCACCACAGCCTAGCGACATCACAGTCAAGCGGGGAGGGGGCAAGAGGGGGTCACACAAATTATTTGGTTTCCCAGTGCATATAAAAATTATGCTTATACTATATCGTAGCCTCTTAAGTGTGCAATAGCTTGAGGAAAATTTGTAAATATCATGAGAATTACCAAAATGTGACAGACGTGAAGTTAGAGTGCTTGCTGTTAGAAAAGAAATATCACTCACAGACTCGTTCCACACAGAGTTTTTAATGTTTGTTAAACATTAAAAAAAATTAAAAACCACACCCTCCCTACCTGGGAAGTGCAATAAATGAGGTGTGCCCGAGCTTGGGCCAGTGGCAGATCCCTGCAGCCCCTCCAGTGACCATCCTTTCTCCCCTGAGGTTGCCTCCTCTTTTTTCTTAGAAACCAAATGCACAGCTTTGCTCCCCCATGATGGAATCCCTGCCACCTTGGGAACCTGTGTTAGACAGGGTTCTCTAGAGAGATAAAACCAGATTGCTAATAATTTTATAAATATATATTTAGATAGATAGATAACACAAGAAATAATCAGGTAAATTATAAAGCAGGTATGCAGATAGTTAGATATATAATACAAGAAATAGTTAAATTATCAAGCAGTAAAAATGGCTCAGTACAATTCAAATGTGTTAGACAGTTGTGAGACACTGGCAGTCCTTCAAGTGTTGAGGGCTGCCAGGTAGTCCTCTGTAGAGAGATTCAGGCTATCCCGGCACAGGCAGCAAACAGCAAGGCAGGTCACCAAGTCAGTCTCCAGCTCAAGAGATGTAAATTTCAATTGTGTGGTGAAGCAGGCCTTAAAGGAGCCTCAAATTACAGCAACACAGTCCGCAGGTCAGGTGTCCAACAGGTAGTGTAGCTTGCAAATTGGGGCACAGAATAAGCAAGGCAGCCGCACACTGGTCTGATAATCAAAGAGCGAGAGACAAGAAAGGTGAGGCTCACCGAGCCATTTATCTCTCCGCCCTTCAATTAATCCCACATGTGTTTATCAGCCAGGCCGATAAACTAACTACCTCAATCCACCCCATGCCAACCTGGCACCTGTACAAAATTCTCTAGCCATATATAATTATATGATTTCTGGACATTGATGAAATCACACTTATACTTATCATAAATCATCTATCATACATATGAATGAAAACACACTGAGTCCAATTGTATCTGATATATCATACCTGAACAAAGGAAAGGTGTGCAATAGGCACATAAAAAGAAAATACACTGACAATTACAAACCTCGGTTTTGCAATTGATCGCGTGGTCGTAATTGATAGGTAGAACTACCTCCTTCTACTACCCATTCTGTATTACCTTTGCCCTCAGCAAGTACCTCAGCTGGCTGTGGTTTTTTGCCTGGTGAGGTGACCCAGACCTTCATTCCTGATGGTCCGGGTCATTGTAAGTCCTGTCAGGATTGGGTTGCTGTAATTTACCATTTACTTTAATCACAGGGCATGGTAGCACTAAGAGTCGGCCTATGGGATCTCCTGGATTCAAGGCATATTCTTCTTTACCTCCATTATGTAACACCAGTCCAATTTCTCCTTGCTAATCAGGATCAATCACACCACTCAGTACAGTGACACCCTTCCTGATCTGTTGATCCAAAGGCATAAGAAGCCCAAAGTGGCCAGGGGGCATTCTCAGCTGCCAGTTCAGTAGAATCCGTGCTGTGTTTCCGGGTGGGAGAGTTCCTTCCTTTGGGACCAGGACCTCCAGGCCTGAGGAACACAGGGTTGCTGGGACAAGAAGCAAAAATGCTGCAAGTGGATCACTAGGAGTAATAGTGAATGGTTCCACTGTAGCTTCCACCCCTTGGTTCCTGGACCCATGAATTCTGGGTATTGGAGACACAGCACCATATATTGGCCACTGGTTTAGAGCATATACAGCTTCCTGGAGAACATTGCCCCAGCCCTGCAAGTTGTTGCCACCTAGGTGGCACCGTAATTGTGTCTTTAGGAGCCCATTCCATCGTTCTTTCAAGCCAGCAGCTTCAGGATGATGAGGAACATGATACGACTGGTGGATTCCATGGGAATGGGCCCATTGCCACACTGCATTTGCTGTGAAGTGAATTCCTTGATCTGAAGCATTGCTATGTGGGATGCCATGTCAGTGGATGAGGTATTGTGTAAGTCCACGAATCGTAGTTTTGGTAGAAGCATCGCATGCAGGGAAGGCAAATCCATATCCAGAGTAGGTGTCTATTCCAGTAAGAACAAAACGCTGTCCCCTCCATGACGGAAGTGGTCCTATGTAATCAACCTGCCACCAAGTTGCTGGTTGATCTCCCCGAGGAATGGTCCCATATCTTGGACTTAATGTTGGTTTCTGCTGCTGGCAAATGGAGCACTCAGCAGTGGCAGTGGCCAAGTCAGCCTTGGTGAGTGGAAGTCCATGTTGCTGTGCCCATGCATAACCTCCATCCCTGCCACCATGTCCAC